AGTTTCCCTGTGCGTTACATGAGTCAAGAGCTATGTTCCTGGAATGTTCCAGATTAGATCTAATTTTAAACCGAGCTGAAAAGAGGCTGTACACCTTGAATAGATATATGCATTTAATCAATATAGGTTACACTTGCATTTAGATTTGCCAGATCTCAACACACCTAACAGACAGTCCACTATATAAAGCTGCCTCAGGAGCCAAAGCTAGTTAGGAAAGGATGCTAGGGTAGTGATGGTCTAGATTTGCAGGACAGCTGTAGGGATACTTCAATATTGTGGTTTAATATAGAAAACTTCCCTGAAGTGATTTGCAATACAGAAAATTCCAGAATATTACAGAGTCATTTTTAGGTAATCCCAAAATATGTCTTCCATAGTTTTCTTCCTTGGCTTCTGTACAAGATATTTTTGTAAATGATCCATAAAAGGCATCAATGGCCTTTGCATGTAGTGATTTCACATGGCATTGGCACTGTTTATGACTATTTTGCAAACTTATGTATTTCCTAGCGGTGGCACACTAATGAATGAAGAATTACTTTTTAAGAACTTTATAGCTTTATAAATTTTACTTTGAGATGCAGGGAAAATAAAAGTGTCTTCCATTTGAAATGTAGAAGAACTTTAGCCATCTGGAATATATAATTTTAGCAGGTAGTCTGAAATATTATGTACTATATCAGGCATAACTATCAACATTTTAAAAAGCAACAAGTATTTTCTACAGAACTTTAAAAAATCTATTAATTTTTTTTTGTTTTTACCAGAAGCCAAGATGTGTGACAATCATGTTTTAAACGTTGACTATTGCATTCCTGTACCCTTGGTGTGGATACATGGCTTCAGATTCAGGCACCTCACAATGAAACTGAGATTTCTTAAGTGTAAATAAGGAGGACTGAGACACTGGAGACCAGAGCATATGGAAAGTATTTGGGAGAAACAAATTTGAGATTATACTCAGAACAGTGTTGACGCTATTGTTCTCTGTTCTTTTCACACTAAGTTGGAGATAGCATGTTTAGTTTGTATACTCTAATAAAAACTGCTGACTGACAGAGGTCTATACATTTAGAAAATTAAATGCAGCAAATTAAACATAGCAAAAAAATTAAAAATAGCAAATAAATTATTCCAGACCATATTTGTAGTAATTATGTGCATAAAATTGTTATCTTGTTATCAATTCTTTGGCATGTAGACCTGATGTATATAACTTTAAGATAATCATAACCCCATCTCTGAGAAATCTTTAGTTTCTACTAACAGTTTTTCATCAAATGTAGGTATTATCTTTTAAATGTGAGCTCTTAAATTCAAAGACATTTCGGGTCTTGAGTGAAATTCAAAGTGTTTATAGGAAATCTTCAGGGAATCTTTTGATTCAATTTTGTATAACTTAACTAATTGCTACCTTAAGATAGTTTCTTTTTGTCTTAAGTTTCTATTTTCAGCTAAAATTTGTTTGTATATAGAGAATAAAAAACTCAACATTGATGATTATTATACATCAAACATCTCCAAGAATGATTTGTAGCCACTGTGCAATGTAGCAATTATATTTCAAAGAAGACATAATCTTATAAGCGAACATTCAAACACTGCATGTTTTTGTTCTTACTACATGGTTATAGTAGGACAGCTACATGGAAACAAATACACTGAATTTTCCGATTGGAGATGATTTTCTGCTGTAAAACAAGAGACAAGGCCAGGTAAAGATACAAATTTTACAGGTTTGGATTCTATGACAATGTGGTGGCTCCTTCATTAAATTATACATCTGATACAATCTTAGAGATACCATGAAAGTGACTGTAACTACATAGATGCCTGTCTCTTGGTGATACAGCTAACATTTTCATGCAGATCTAATAAACCATGCAAGACTATTTCATCTGAATCAACAAAGTTTCAAGGAGAGGAGCATTTCCTTCAGGGTCTGACTTAAAGATAATAATGAGCTCAAATTGATTGACAGGGAAATGGTTGCTAGCATTCCTTGAAGCATAATTCATATATCAATAATATTGGCTGAGGATTACATGTGGCGCTGCTTCTCAATATCTGACCTCTGACACTGGAAGTAATGCCTGCTATATTTCAGGCAGGTTGCTACTCTTTTTTTTTTTTTCCTGGAACTAACTAGTTCAGAGAGCTGTCAGTTCTCTCCATCTGCAGTAACAACAAAGATAAATTCATTTAAAGCTAAATAAGAGAAAATGGTGCAGTTTGTCTCACTTGATTCTGTAGTAATGCCTTCAATTCTGCAGTGGATGTTAGATCGGAACATATTTTTCTTTCTTAAGTGCAGGAATCTCAAAGATGTCGAGCTTGTTTTTTTTTTTTTCTTGCTCTTTCAATTTCAGTGGTATCTCAATGTTCCTTGTTCATTCCCTTTCTTCTTCATGGAAAGACAGTCTGAATATTTTACACATTAGCCTTGATGAGTCTTTTCAATTTAAGAAAAGACATGTCATCCTAGAATTCTAATAAAATTATTTGGGACTTGATTTTCAAAATGCTGAAACTAGTCAATGTTCAATGTATAGTGAAAACAGCACGCATCCAACATCTGACTCCTGCAGTGGAAACTACCATATCAGTATTTGTGAACAGGTATTTCAAACTTACTTTCAGCTCACATATTTGCTTCAATATAGTCTTCAACAATATCTGTACATACATAATATTTAGTTTTTATGTTTTTTACATATGTCCCTTAAGACAAACTATAAATGTTTTAGACTCTGTGTACAATGAATGTTTAATATATTTAGTATTTATTTAGGCCAGTGTGGTGGCTTAGCAGGTTAAGGCATTTGTTACCAAGCCTGATGACTTGAGTTCCGACCCAACAACTCACATGTGAAAGGAGAGAACTGATTTCTACAATTTGTCCTCAGAGCTACACAGACACACACACACACACACACACACTAAATGGGAAAATTTGTATTATTTGGTCACCATATACATGCTTATAATTTGATTATATTCACTCCTATTACCCTCTATGAGAGATAATTAAAAGACAAGAAGTAGGATATTTTTGAATTATCTCTTTCACATGATTCTATTTTATTTTAGAAATTTTGTAAATTTAACTTATAAATTTACATTGTTCTAGTAATTATTGAGTGTGGACATTTAACTACACACTAAATGAATGTCATGATAGTAGCAGTTGATAATTTTCCGTGACTCATAAGTTTTTAATCTTACTACACTATTTTTATAGTACTTCTTAATCTATAAACCTGACAGAGTAGCTCTACTAGCATGTGAAAGAGATTCCTAGAAGAACATAGCAGAGCAGGGAGTCTGTACTTTCACAATTATCAGGTGTTTGAGATGCTGATGATCTTGGGCTTTCCCAGGAGAACGTCCTTCTGTGATCATACTTTTCTGCTCAAAACTGCCTACAATAACTCCTGAAAAGTACACCTACATCTGCCTGCCTCAGTGTCACACTCCTGCGACAGCAGCTTAGACTCTATACCAGTGCTTCTGACACAATTTGACTGGAAGTAAATCTGAAGTAACATGTTGATTTTTGAGGAAATATGTAGTTGTTTAAAGTCTCTTAAGAGGGACAGCAGCTGTTGTCCTACAAAAAGACTCACTGTACTGGTGAGATGTGGAGAAGATGATCATAGAATTCTCTAGTCAAATTCTAAAAGATATGTTTTCAAACACGGTTTCAAATCACTACTTTTAGGGAAGAATTTGACATGTATTAGTCATTTGATCCTAGGGAAAATGTTAGCAGGAATTAATGTCACTAACTTTTTCTGACAGTTAAGATTTTAGAGGTCCAGGAATGCTACAAATGTCACACAGATACCAGGTAGTAAGAACATAGCACCAGAGTCAGGTAGGCTTGCCCCAAGGTCTAAGTCCACTGTAGCACTAGATACAGCTTTTTTCTTGGACAAAGGATAGACCTATGGATGCTTTGCTAACACCATTAATATAACAATGAGTTTTGACAAGCTGCCCAACAAGTGGAAAATAACCCAAAAGACTGTAGTCTTAGACACAAACTAATGTAGCAGGCACATGCAGTGATTTTTTTTAGCATATTGTAAAGTCAAAAACATATTTCAAATATACATAGTGAAAATATGAAAAACATCTATGAATAAAGTAGAACCCATAGGTATGCATTACCATGCAGACACATACCTTACATCTTGTCATAAGAAGAGACATTTTCTTCATTTCATTCATTTGTTCTTTCTTCTTATTTATTTGTTTATTTATTTATTTATTTATTTTTGAAAGTGTCTGATATAGCTTTAGTTGCTTCTTTTTCTCTATATAGCCAAGAATGATCTTGAGTTCAAGATCCTTCTGCCTCCACCTCACCTCCACTGTGGAAGAGTCATGGGCCACTAAGACTCTATCTTGTAAATGTTTTTTTTTTCCTTCAAAATCAGGTATACTATGGTGAGTCTATACAGTTGAGCCAAGAAGATCAAGGTTACAGTTCAACTTTGTTACTTGCTTGATGACTTGTGAGCTTAATTTGTGAGCCCTAATTGAGTCTCATTTTCCATAAAATAAACATGGTTTGATAAATTCTATATGATGTAACTAATAACATTTGTTGAATATTAAATAAAATAATTATGTTTAGAGCTTAATATAGTGCATATAATATCTTAATTACCACCATTGGTACTTACCTTCAGTTATTATAAGTGAATAGCCATGAACTTAACTTAGTAGAAAATAAATACATGTTTGGAGAGTATATTTGGCAGGAAAAAATGTCATCTGAGTTTAATCAAAGCACTTAAGCCTTTGTTTGAGAAGGCCACTGACAGAACTATCAGGGACAGACAGTCTCGGGGGGGTGGGGTCTGTCTGATTTACAAACTAGAGTCAAGACAATAAAATATTTGCTTGGCTCCTTTGACCAAATCTCTCCTGAGATGGCCTCTTTTTTTTTTCCACCAGGAAATGAGCCTAGTTTTTTTTTTTTTCACCAGGAAATGAGCCTAGTGTCCCTCTCCTGCTGGCCTTGGCATCAAGGCTGAGGGACAGTGCTGAACTCTTCCAGTCAGATGAGATGCGACCTGCTAATGACCCAAAGGAGAGAGCTCCCAGCCGTGTGCGAATGCTGAACGACATCCTTCAAGACCTGGAAAAGAACTTCCTGGTGCAGCAGGTACCACCGGGTTTTTATAGGTAGGAAATATATCTCCACATTGTGAGACATAAAGTCTTAAGTTCAATTCCAGCATCTTCTAAATACTATAAAACTACATAAAAGAAGCTCTACTTTTGCATATTTAAGGAGAGAGAGTGAAGGTAAGACTATGTTGAAGTCAGAATAAGCAAAAATGGCTTGTATGGAAAAGTGGGGAGAGGATAGGAAAGCATTAGAGAGAAAAGAAAAAGTATTAGGTTTGATCCAAATATATTATAAGGATATGCAAATAATCTATTTTAAACAATCAAATAGATATAGATAGAATAAGGAGATGACCGTTATCCAAAGCAAGGCTCAAATGAATAAGGATGGAATAAAGGACGCATGAAAAAATGTCTTATATTTATTTTAACGATATTTTCTCTGGAAAATCAAGTTTTGTCCAAGCTTCCATGGGGAGAAATCTGCCTTCTTGATTGCCAAGTGATGGGCTATGCTGCAGTATTTTCATCATAATAACATGACAAGAATGTTGAGCCTAGTTCTTTATGCTATAATTTATGACAATATTGAATACATTTAATATTCTGTTAGAGTGAAAATTTAGAAGCTCTTGAACAACTGAGAGAGGTGGGCAGTTTGGTTGGAGAATCACAGGAGTGTGCCTGAGAGCAAATGTGTGGGCAATGGTTTTCTAGAGACAGCAGTGTGATTTGGGCTCAGTGCCTGAAGCACGTGGAATATGGTTTTGTTTAGGATGTTCTCAAAGTATAAAATAAACAAAGGCAAGATGGAAGTTAACCAAATTTTAATATTTTAACTATTTTGCATATTTGATTCATTCTCATTTTTCTACTGAGGAAAAAATATATCTTTCTCTGTAATACATGTTTATATAATGTGTATGGGAATGACTTCTTAATATATATTCATATGTCCTATATAGGAGTTATCTATATTTTCTGTATTCATAATGGTATTTGAAAGTGTTAAATTTATGACCCTTTTGGAAAGTTCTAGGCAGAATTAGAACTACTTCCTCACTTCTCCCAAGCTTCCTTTAATCTGCTGTCTTGTTTCAGGTCTAGACTTGCTAATATAGTATGTATAACCAGAGGTTTAAGCAAGAAATCAATTATTGATACAAAGATATAGAAATCTTAGTTACATTTGAGAAAGCGTTTCTAAAATTACTTGATGACTTGAGAAGAACTTCAGCAACCTACATCCTGATTTCTGCATCTGTTAAAAGAATAGCAAATAAGGAACCTTTCATGAAACATTTTTTTTTTTTTTTTACTTTTGGTTTTTTGAGAGTTTAGCTTTGTGAGTTCTAAGTTGAAATAAATACACAGATACAGTTTTCATGTTATTTCTTCTAACAGCATAACTCTTGACTGTAAGATATTGAAAAATATTGTGTATTGTTCACAGAATTGTCATCATATTGAAGGCAGTATTATGTTTTCTGTACTTTCTAAGCCCCTGTAACTTAGCACACACTTCAAGTAAAAAGCATTTTCTTAATAATAATCTAGTGAAGGATTAGAAAGAAGAAAGAACAATGTAAATATAAAGGTACAATTAAAAGATGGAATGCATAAATAACTGCTTAAAGAAAATTCAACCACATTATGGACAGATTTCTTTAAAATATCTTTATCAGAGAAGATAGCTCCCATTTGAGGACCCATTTAATAAGGCCTCTTTTTACAAGAAGAATACATTCCTTTCTTGATATTCTTCCAATATGTAGCTGGTCTACCTATGTAATATGCTTTTTCTTACCCGTTCAATATATTCATATACTCAATTTATTTCATTCTGTATTTTGAGAACAGCAAACATCTGTATATTCATGATTAAAACCAATAAATGTGATTTTTCTAGCCTAGCTATTGTCACAGTATGTCCTGTATCCAAGTGATACAAATCCAAATGTTAATATAATATTCTAGTTCATAGGCTACATAACTGAAAATTTAGAGTTCAACACTTTAGAACTTTAACTATAGTTATTAGTAGAATGCATGGTTAACATGCCTTTCCTTTGGATAAACACTGAGCACATGACACTCTCCTCAAAAGCAGCTATACCATTTTGTATGTCCAACAGTGAATACTATGGTACTTCATTCTCTCCCTCACCTACATTCACTGTGGGTTCCCTGGGGATAAACTTTGCTGAGAGATGCACAGTTGGTGTCTAGACTTTGAATTCATAATTCCTTGATGGTATAGATTGTTGACAATCCTTGGCTATGCTGTTTTCTCACCTGTGCTTCTAAAGTGAGATTTCTTTTCAAATTTTTTGCTCAATTTCAAAACTGAGTTGTTTGAATTTGGGCTGCTATGTTTTATCAATTCTTTTATTTTGGATACCAATCTTTATTAGATAATTGTTTGGCAAAGACTTTCTTATACTGTGTGTTTTATCTCCTTCTTGTAATAATATTGAATGGATTTTCCACAGACATAATACATTTGAATGAAATTTAGAGCAAAAAGGTGGGTTAATTGGTTTCACAGACCATGGGTCTCTCTGGAAAAACATTGAAACAGATGGCTATAAGCTATTGTAAATAGGCAGCTTTTGTGGAAATTTACCAACCTAAGTAGTCATAGACCTTGTAAATAGGTAGCCTTGGCAGATAATACCAACTTAGATAAGGACAAGTGAATCATAGGCAGTGTCATGGTGACTTGTCCATTGAAACTTCACCCAGCCAATAACCTGTTCTGAAAGATATCTGTATTCCCCCTGAACATCCACACTCTGGTGTCATCCCCTCCCCCATGTCTTGTCTTTTTATGTTTATAACCCCTGTGTGAATAAGTAAAAATTATGATTTGATTTAAATAAATAAACAAACAAACAAACAAATGGTTTTCCTAATTTTTTTTTTTTGGTAGGCACACCACAGGGCTCTATTTTTTCCTTTCAAAAAACATTTTATTTTTAATTACACATAGACTTTTGGAATATGTTCTTGTTTGAAAAATTCTCACAATTCAGATCAAGCTGGACTCTCCCTTGACCCTCAAAAGTCATGGTTTCTCCTTGCTGAAGGGAATTTTTTTTTTATCTCAACATTTTTTATTTTTATTTTTTATTTTTTTTTTGCCAAGCAAATAGAAATATTTATTTATTTATTTATTTATTTATTTATTTATTTTAAATAATTTATTTTTTCTCAAATCGTAATTCATTCACATAGGGGTTATAAACACAGAAAGGCAGGATATGGGGAAGAGAATGACACTGGCGTGTGGATGTTCAGAGGGAATACAGATATCTTTCAGAACCAGGTATCGGCTGGGTGAAGGTTCAGGGGACAAGTCACTATGACTCTGCCTATGACTCGATTGTCCTTATCTGAGTTGATATTGTCTGCCAAGGCTACCTATTTACAAGGTCTATGACTACTCAGACTTGTAAATTTCCACAAAAGCTGCCTGTTTACATTAGCTTATAGCCATGTTTCAATGTTTTTCCACTGAGACCCAAGACTTGGTGTTAGTATACATGTATGACAGGCCTATTGCTGATTTTAGGCCTATGGCTGATTTTAGGCCTTCACTGTGTAAGTAGGGCTGCTCCTGACATCTCCTCCCTTCTCTAAGTATAGAAGAGCTGTGGCCATTCTAATCTTGCAAAGGAGGGGATAGAGGCCTGACCTCAAGAACTTGAAGGGGACCTTGTAATGACTCCAGTCCCCTGTCGTTGTCCAGTGAGGCACGAGGGCCATACCCATCCCGATATCTTTTTCATGGAGAGGGAATACTTTTGACATCAACCCCTATGCAGTCAAGCTTGTCCCTCAGGGAACTCAGAGAGATATATTTATCTTTTATTTATATTCCCTTGCAGTGCTTAGCCTCGCAGCCTAAGCAAGAATTCAGATCGCCTGTCAGAGGGGGTTCTGGGTGGCCCCTCTCTGCTTGGTCTAGGGGCAGAAGTCCCCCCTTTTAGTTTGGGTGGAGATGGGTTTTGGAAACACCTTGTATAAAATAACAACCTCATCTTGAGTCTCGTGGTCCTCCATAGCTACCTTATGATAATGTATCTGAATAGGTTTTGCTACCAAATTATTTATCTGTTGTATCCCAGAGTTAGTCCACCTATTTCAGGGCCAGGGACCAGAAGACATAAGCAAAAAGAACCCAAATAATGTTCCTAAGATGGGAGGAAATAGGGTTGACAACCTTGGAGAAGCTGAAAACCAATTCTTGTACCAGCATTCATCTGTCTCTTTCTCTCTCTGATTTTTCTTACGGCCTTCACTGACCTATTTCATGCTGTCTTTAATCCTCCTTGTCTTGTCTATGTAAAGGCAACCTTCTTCTTTAAGGGCTGTACACAGTCAAGAGCTGTACACAGCCTTTTCTATTGTAATAGAGTAAATCAAGTCCAATAAGGATCTTTGCGATTTTAGGAGGTCTCTTCAGACAGCGAAACGAAGGATTTCTTCAGATTAGTGATGTCAATCTCTAGCTGCTTGATCTTCTTATCAGTGGCCCTTCAAGGTCTGAGTAGTATAAGTTCGGAGGCCAGCATCTCGATTAGAACTTCTAACTGCAGACATCAGGGGTGATTCATTTTTACCTAGAAAGTAAAAGAAGGGAATTCTCAGGGAGATTTCTCTTCCCTGTATGTAAATTGTTATTCATCTTATTTATGGTTGGGTCTGGCTTTGTGGGGGTATCTATTTATTTCATTAATCTTTTTGGTAGCCGGTTAGCTGTGCCTTCTGTGGCACAGCTTTTTATGTTTATAACCCCACTGTGAATAAGTAAAAATTATGATTTGATTAAAATAAATAAATAAATAAATAAATAAACCACCAAACAAATGGTTTTCCTATTTTTTTTTTTTAAAAAGATGAGTAAGTGAAGTCAAAAGGCTGGTTTGGAGTGGTGGCTTCTTAAAGGGGGATTGGGAGATTGTGATATGATGGTGAGGAACTGGTGCTATACTCTTATTTGGTGAGCTTAGGGACATGTTCTTATGTCCAGTGGTCACTTTGGAATCTGG